TCTATACATAAAATGCACACGGAAACCCCCCCAGCAAGTGGATTAGTTTACTAATCGCAAAAATAGTTCTGTTCATAAAATAAAATTATAAATGCCTCAAATTCAATTTTTTAATTTTTTAATTATAAAATTAAACTGTTCAGTTCTTTTAGATAATTTTTCCTACTAGCCTTCACATTTAATATTAAAAACAACAGCTGATCATTGTAAATCTGAAATTCATAATTGTAAAAAACTTTCCTTTCTGTTCTTCTTGTAAACATGACTTTTATTTTTTCTCTTAATTTTTCATTAATTTACTCAAACACTCCACATTATTTAATGGTCCTTCGATCCAAGATATTACTTAAGCGATTTGGATTTACACTCATCCACTAGAACTCTTTTTTGTACTAATATTTCCTCATTTCCCCATTGTTTTTTGTGCCTCTGAACTCTTACCCAACCGAACTCTTATTTCCATGTTGGAACTCCTCAACCTGTTCATTTACACTTATTGAATTTTTTACATTTATCTCTTCATATTTTTACAATGGCATCTCCAAATTGTGATTTTAAAATTGAGACTTATACACGACTCACATCTTTTATTAAAGTTTGTATGAACAAAATAAAAAACATCATAGATCAACTTGTTGAACAAGAAGAAACATTAACATTTGTGCAACACGAAGCCTTAAAGACTCTTATGCAAGAAACCCAGAAGAAGAAAGAAGACTTTGATTCTTATTTTTATCGAATTGTAAGTAAATCAAGTGAAGATGATTTGAACATTGAAACTTTAGCTGAAGATGAAGACCAAATAAGTGAACTATTCATCCACATCACCAGCTACATTAAAGTGCTGCTTTCAAAAATTGGTTCTAACCCTTATTTGGCCAAGGTTAATTGCAGTTCAGCTCAACCTCATAGAACTACTGCAGTGCATGTAATCAAACCGAACTCATCAAGTCAGTTTCAAATCAAAGGCAACGACATTATACAACCTGGAACAAAACTCATCACAATAAAGAGGCCAGTGACAATCACAATACCTAAGTTCGCAAACACGATGATTAGAAATACCACAAAGACAGTGACAAAACCTCAACCAACGAATACAGATACAATAGTGAGCTCAACTACCTTGACAAGTGACAGTGCTGATCAACCAACGAATACAGATACAACAGTGAGCTCAATTACCTTGACAAGTGATAGTGCTGCCATCCAACCTACCAACATTGCTGTCATCCCAAGAGACAATACTGTTATTCATCCTACCGATAATGATACCACCCATCCTACCGATCGTGTTGCTGTTAAACCAACAGACAGTGCCGCCGCTAACACAACCGAGAGTGAAACCACTACAGTAAAGACAGTCAAGCAATCCAGTCAAGTGGTTGTATCTTCCGATGGAGCTCTGACCAATAGCTACTCTTCATCACAAACTACAGAGGAGGCGCTCATCCTCCAATCTCAACTTGTTGAATTATTGAAACACGAGTGCTTTGAATTGAAGAAACGTGTTATGAACTGTCAAGACTTGTGCACTTCTGTTACTCAATCTTATCATAAAACACAAAATTTCCTTCAAAACTCTGATGCTCAACATTTTAAAGAGCTAGGACTTCGGTGGTCTCCTGCAACAGTTTTTAAGGTGTTTCCCAGCAAAGATGGTATAGGTTGAAAATGAGAAGTCGAAAAATGCAAACAGCTGCTATAGCCGGCCTACAACAAACTTTTGTTTTGTTCTAAACTAACTGTTGAAGTGAGGACACTTCAAGGCCGGGAGTATGTTCAGTTCTTTTAGATAATTTTTTCTACTAGCCTTCACATTTAATATTAAAAACAACAGCTGATCATTGTAAATCTGAAATTCATAATATTGTAAAAACTTTCCTTTCTGTTCTTCTTGTAAACATGACTTTTATTTTTTATCTCTTAATTTTTCATTAATTTACTCAAACACTCCACATAAACTATCATAACCTAACCGAACTAACCAAACTTGCTGATAATGAAATAATATAAAAAAGCTTACTAATAGAAAAAATAATTCTGTTTATTAAATAAAACTAGAAATTGCTCAATTAAAATTTTATAATGACTTAATAATAAAATGAACCCGTCATAACCAAACCAAACCAACCAAACTTGCTGATAATGAAAAAATCTTAGACAAAAAGTTAATGCCACCAGCGGGATTCGAACCCGGGTCCTTCAGTATATCAGCCCGGCACGCTAACCACTACACCACCGAGGCCGATGTCTACAACTCGTATTGTTACGGTAATGGTGTTCCCTCAGCTAATAAGGAGCCCACAGCTTTCATCGTAGGCTCTTCTATACCTCCCCTGAGTAAACACCATCGTTATCGAGACGTATTGTTGACTGTTGTAGGAAAGTGAAAGTCTTAAGTAGTCCTCTTGCTAGCTCTGTCGAATGACGATGGTTGTTTGTTGAACATTTGGTTTACGCTGGTCTAACCTATATGAGTTTAGATAGTTGTTTTTTGTAGGAATGGGGATTAAATAAAGCATCAACACAAAACAAAATATAATTTATTAAACATGGGTGTAGAAAATCGTGAAGTGGCACTATTTATAACTACTCAACTCGAATTTTCGAGTAGTAATTACTACTCGACTTGAGGTCGAGTATGTGAAAAAACTCGAGTAATTACTCGAAGGTCGAGTACTCGCCCACCCCTAATATTTACCTATTATTTAATTAGGTACCAATGTACTTTATTGGTACTATATTAATAAATTGGCCGATTTTTGTCAAATTTTACACCAAATTTATTGAAATTTCAAGGTGAATATCAATAAAACAATTATTACCAAATATTTTTATTTATTTAAAAGATTGATTTGTGGTATTGGGTTCCCCACTCAGTGCAGCCGAGCGGCACTATTGAGGGTTGAACCGCCTTGGGGGTGGACAATAGACGGCTTATCAGACCCACCCTCCCCAGTGGTCTAGAGAAAGCTTGTAAAAAAACTATTGCACACGAGTGACTTGACCTTGGGCTGCTTCAACTTTAATTTTTTCAAATGAACTGTGATGTTTCAAAATCAAAAACAATAACTTAGGACCATACTGCATAACAATAATGGACTGCAATAAATGTTGAATTTACAATCCATTTTTTAACAAACTAAGATTATACTATTCAAATACAATTTTAAAAATTATCTTGGTATTTTACTTGGGGTATTTAAGTTATGTAGGCTAGTGTAATTCTCGGTTCATCAAGGTTCTACTGAATTATGTTTGGCAGTGAATAAGTGTAGAATGAAATTTATAAATTCAGGGATACACACCTTTTACAGAGTTATAAAGCCTGATTGCCCTAATTAACTTGCCGTTGCCACAACATCAAATCTAGAGCCCAGCTTAGACAGGAATGTTTTCTAAACTTGGCAAACCCGCAGAATGCCACTTAAGGCCAATAATCCGTTCCAAAAACATAAGGAAATACAATGTGAAAATAAACTTGAGATAGAACTCCTTGTCTTGTGAGAACCAGGAAACAACATAAAACATAACCTCAAGTAAACAAGCCCAAACGTTTTGACTTCAGTCCTCCTGAGCTAAAGTGTTGTGTGAAGATTTCGGCTGCTAGTGTACTTAATTCAAGCAACCAACTTTTTAAAATAGATGTTGTGAATTGTGATTTTCAAGAGAGAGAAAACTGTGGACGTGGCTAATTTGAAATTCTATGATTCAAAATCGTCATTTAAGTTTATTTACACAGCTTTACAGTGTTTTATAGGTTAAAAATGCATATGCCGCTTATTATTAACTGCGCCGAACTATCCGAATCCGAAAATATCTGAATCCGAACCTCCCAATATCCGATCCGATCCGAACCGAGCCTCAACTATCCGATCTGAAATGAAATTTCACTATCCGCACACCTCTAAAGGTTACATAAATGTATTTAGATTGTGTTTTAAATGTGAACTTAAGTGTTGAACTGTATTTACCATGTTTGTGAAGACTTCCATTTCAGAATGACTAAATCCAATTTGATGTTGACATGAATTTGATAATGGGTATTTGACCCAAAACAGTCATCCCTAGTCTAATTTAAGACTGAAGTCAGACTAAAGTAACTTATGTAACCTATTATATATTCAATTTACTTTGTTGTTTTGAGATCCCCAGAGGCCAAAAATATCATCCTTTCAGATCCATACATGTATAAGTATATCTGTTACTATAATAGCTTAAGTGATCCGATTTTGATGAAGTTTGGTACAAATGTGTATTCCTTTATTCTATTGAGTTATTGAACCATCAAAATGGGACTATGGATGTCTTATGGGTTAAAAAGTAGTTTTCCCCATTTTCGATCTACCTTTAAAACATTAAACTTTGGGATTTCTTTCTAAACCATTGTCTAGAGCTTAAAAAAAATAATTTTACCATGCTGAAGTGTTGTAGTATGCTAATGGTTACAGAGAAAGTTTAAAAGAACATAGGCCCTAAGTTTAAAATGTCCATGTTATTCTATAGAAGAATAAGTAAACTGTTAGTTTGCTTGTTTGTGGATATACAGTAGACTCTCGCTCATCCGGATCGGCCTCGTCCGGACTCCCGCTAGTCTGGATTGGCAATCGTGATTTATTTAGCGGCACAGTACAGTAGAAGTAAGTCCGGATGAGCAGGAGTATTTTGATCGGATTTGGCATTTTTTCACACTAAGCTGTTGACCTTTTATTGAAAAACACTTTATTACCTTACCTGTAGAAGCAATCCTACAAACTCACCATACAAATCTAATTTTATTTTAAAAGGGAATAAATTTGACATTTGTAAGGAAATATTTTAGTGATAATCAAATCAGGCAAATGGAAATTCGCTGAGTCTGCAGGTATGCCGCGCCGTGGCGGGGGTATTTTATTCATTATTGCTTTAAACAGAAAAACATATCTGATTTATATCCCTTAAACCAGTTTATTTTTTACTCATACTTTGGTTTGTGAGATTGTATGTGTTTGTTGCAGACTGTATTCCAGACCTGCCCATTGACTGGAGATGAATGGATGACAGTGATGAAGTTCTCACTTCCGGTGGTTCTGCTGGACGAAACGCTCAAGTTTGTTGCGCGCAAATACGCTGATGGTAAGAATGACTGGCTGTCCGGGGTACATGGGATCGTTATGATGTGGGGCGTATTCTTCCTCTTCATCTGGAGTAACATCATCTAAACAGCTGTAGGGGGGCTCTAGGACTCACATTGTTACGTGCAGAGCCCCCCCGAGGGACGTAAGTGAAAGTGGTCACGAGCGGCAGTATTGATCGGCACAGTAAACGCTCGAGTAGTTGTTGGAAACATTTTCCCACTGTTAGCATTTATTTCTGACATACTCACTGCTGTACATTCCCAAACTACTGTGTTATTAACAGTACGACTGTTTATTCCGGTTAGAAAATTAAATCAAAGTAGTAAATGTTTCCAACAGATACGGGGCAGTTACCACTGTGGACTGAATTTTTTATATGATGTACACACAGGGATTCGGTTTTGGAACATCTTTTACTTTGAAACACGACGGCAATGTCAGTTTGAACTACTCTTCTAATTTATTGGTTTTATTTATTTTTGTTTTTTTACATTTTTTGCTCATTGTTTGAACTAAGACACATATGAGATTCACTGGCATTGCTTTGTTTCTCGTTTTATAAACCAACAATGTAGCAAGATCATTTTTGTAAATTTGTAGCATAATTGATGAATTGTTAAAGTATATTAAACTTGTGATGTTATATTAACGATCGGTAATAAATTATTTTGTGGTTGGTTTTTTCTAGAGAGTTTTTATTTTATTTTGCTTATTGCCCAGCTTATGCACTCCCCTCCTCCAGCATGACAGTTTCCAAAATACATGCAATTTTTTTAGTTTGTTTGTCTTTTATTTGATCCTTATTTCCCTTTAATCTGTATTTGATAACCTCTGCAGCCTTTACATATTGAGTGATAATTATTATTTATTTGGCACTGGCACATACTTGTTTGAACACAAGTACTTTGGCTTGACTTGTATGCATGGTACTGCTTTTACCCAAGTGGCTGAAATATGAGACTTTCAGTTGCAACTCCACATCAACCGAGACTACGGCTCGTCATTATTGATTTTGTGAAAATGTTTGAGCTTGCAAATTTACGATTCCTCAACTCTAGTTAAATCTTAACAATTTGATATCACACAGCAAGTGTGGTATTTGTCTTGTGTTTTGCTTCACAACCAAAGCTCAACTCGTAAGGTATTTTTATAAATTCATTTTAATTTATGAAAGTAATTAAGACTGAAAACCCTGTCATGTTTATGAGAACCAATTTGATGGTACTGCCGTTCGGAACTTGGAGTTTGATGATGATTTATGAGTGCTGATTTGTAAATATGGTTTTATGAATGAGTTAAATTTACAGCAAAATTCATGATTCAACGGAGTCATATGGTAAGTATTTATGATTTAATTGTTGGTTATAACTAATTTAAACCATTTTAATCAACCACATCAAGGTAAAATGAGGATTTTAGGGTACTTTTGTTGATCTGCTTATAAAACGAAATGTACCAAGTTACCCAGTGGCGGCTGGTGGGTTAAAGTATTGGAAGGACGCATACAAATTTTTTTGGGAGGTTACTAGGAAAGGATCTTGGTTAAAACTAAAAGTAAAAAAATGGAGTGATTTTGGTTTAGGCATTCTTTTTATACAATCTGTTTGAATTGTATCTTTATTCATAATTTATTGTCATCGCCACTGGCATACTTTGCAGAAATATTTTTAACACGATTCATTAGCATCGAACAACACTTCTAGAGAAAAGAATCGGTACCTATATTAATTAACCCCTCGAATACCGACGGCACGATGAACATAATCTCTACGTATCACCAGATACTGTATTCGATTTTGACTGATCATATTTTGTTGTTGACACTTGGCTGTCAACAGATCACAGCGCTCAGCGCTTGTTGTGGCAATAGTTAGAACTACTGTACTGAGTCCCAAACGCCCTATATCTATTGCATTAGAGCCTGAAGTAGCGCTGTGATTGGTCAAATTTTTCCATGCAGTTTATATGGGAGATTGGGCTCATATCTACCGAGTCCCCGCTTACTGCCCTGTTGCAAAAACATATAGGTAGCGTCCATTATTGCCCGTCCTAAAAACATTGACCCTGCTAACGTTTATGTACATTCAAATCCAGGAATAAAAATCATATTTAAGTTAATCATTATTATTTCTACTTTTGCCTTGTAAATGGGAGGACTCCGTCCTAGAGTCCTTATGGACAGGCCCACTTTTATAAACGCAGACTGGGCATATGCCCAGGGGCACCAGAGGTTTGACCGCCTGCCCGCACTAGGAAAAAAAGAGGGGCACTGCTTTTGGGTTTGCCCAGGGCTCCACTGACCCTTAACGCGGCCCCGCTTATGGACCAGCCGCCACTGAAGTTGCCACTCAAAAGTGGCAAGGAATGATTTAGTTAACTTTTATATCAATAAGTTAATAACTTGACGTAAAATAAATCTGTTACCAGATAAATATAATAAAGAAAATTAAAAGCATTAAGAGTCTTGTCCAAAACCATTAGTTTACAAAAATGAAACTATGTTTAGCAAATTTTCTTAGACCTATACAACTGTATTCATTCACCATCATTGAAAATACTTATGTTAAAAATATTACAGGCAATGTAACCTGACTTGCACAGTGATTCATGTGAAGCATCTTATAGGTTCCTACCTATAAATATGGTCTAATATAAACAACAATGGAAGATAAAACAACTGAGCATGTAATAAAACCCGTTTACTTATCTAAAAGCTGCTTTTGAAATATAAGATGAACAAAAGAAACATTTTTGTGATTTAACTTTCACAAATAATATTTTCATTCACTATTTACTCTGGTTTTAACAAATTCATTTAACAATCCAGATGAATTTGTTTTAATTTTAGCCCCTGATTCTATACCATAAAACTCTTACAATAAGAGTTCCGTTAATACTTGGAATAAAAGAATGGACTGTTCATCCTGGGGCTTGGCTCACTGGAAATGTTTTGCAAAACCAAACCAACTCGACAACTAAGGACTGAAATCTTGACCAACTTAGCTGTTGATAACAGTATCATATTCACTTGAATAACTGTAACTAAAACAATCAAAACATAAGATTTTAAATTTTTCTGTTCATGCAATTTTATTAAGTATTTAAAATGGATTATAAAATTTGCTAGGCAGGGATCCCTACAATCGGTAAAAAAGTGATATCCATCAGTTTACAAATAAGTATACTTTGATTAACCAAACTTGTTGACTTGTAAGTGTTGAATTTGTGGTGTGATATAACAGGGGTGGAGTCGCAGCCAGAGTCTAAGCACCACGACTGTCACTAACTACTTAACCCCCGCATGCTACTTCTGTCTCTGTGTTTCTGTTTACTTGACAGTAGCTTAGTTTTTTATTTTGTTGTCTGTAAATATGGATTCTTCCTGTGGCACAAGCAGATTTTATTTTGTAGTAGAACAAATACTTGGCCTAATACAGTAGTTGTATTCCTGTTAAATATTGGCCTAATATATTTTCAATTTAGTTAATATCTTGTTAAGTATGACAATTTTAATAGCTTTTTTTATCTTAGATTAAATTAAATACATAAGGACAAGTCAGACATTAGATGCTTTAATCTTCTTGAAAATGTTGGCCAGACAATTCATAAATGAGCTGCAAATTATTTTCTAAAAGCCTGCTTTTAGTTTCAGTTCATTAATTTAATACATTGTGTGTGTATAATAATTATTGTAATTGCTCTGATTTGTCAATAGATTGTAGAACATTTACTTGCACTTTATATACCCTATTAACCCTTTGGCGTTTCCTGTAACAAACATATATGCGATTCTTGACTACCCCTTTATTTATTTTATTAAATTATTTTGTAAAATATCCTGCTGACTTGTTTTAACAACCGACCTAATAAAAAAAACTGCAACAATATAATTATTTTGCTATATAATTGGCCGTAACACAATTATTTAATTCAATATAATAATTTTTACTAAGCTTTTTTCCATGTGATTCTTTGAATTTTATTTTACATTCAATGTACAGTATTAATGTCTAGTGATATGTGATAGTAGATTGTAAATAAATGTTTTGTTTTATTATTGTATAGACAATTATAACAATCTCACTGAAATGAACAAATCAAACCTAGATTATTAATTTTACCTATATGTGTTGTTTACAACAGGGAAACATTGCATGTCCTTCATTTTCTTGCATGACTGGGATAAAATTATCATTACCATTCATTCCTCTTTATGTTTTGGCAATTTTGTTAGTTTAACACTTTGCTGGACATGAATGATGCATTGATTTGATTGTACAGACTTCTGTATTTGTTTTTATTTATGAAATTATAAAAAATTAAAAATACCTTTAAATTCAATTTGTTAACACTGCGTGAAGGTGAAATACTACAGAAATAGCAAATTTTCATGAACAGTTACTTTTAACTAAAAATAATAGTGTATTTATAGCTAAAATATGTGCTTCCAAAATAATCAGCCTATCTACATAAACAAATATGTTCTTGGACAAAGTTTTTACTCTCCTGAGTAGACACACCATTGTTATGGAAACAACTGGTGTCTGTTAGTAAAGCCTCAAGTGCCAAGCATTGGTGTCATTGGAGTGTTGAAGCATTGGTTCAATGTATAATGGTTCACCAATGCTCTATCCATATCTTTCAACTTAATCTACTCAAATAAACTGTTAACCTACAAAATTTAAGTAAATCTCTTTATAATAACCTTAAAGATATTTTAGAACTTAAGTGCTTTCCCTTACAACTTAAATTTCTTATATGTTGTTGGAAAAGAGCTTAGTTAATTAAACTTCTTTCAATAACGCCAAGATCATTATAATTGGTTGTAAATTCTTCTAACACACAAATGGAATATCCTTTCAGCCACACAGTTGAGACAAATATACCTTTATCTGGAACATAATGAGATAATCCCAAGTCTGTACAATCCGCTCCTTTTTATGAGTGTTGTTGTTGTTTTTTTATAACGTGTGTGTTTTAGGAGTTTACTGTAGAAAGTTTGTGTTTAGTTAATTGAATTGACATGAAATGATATGAACTAAGTAATGTCCGTTTATGTTTTTGAAAATGCTTTTGGAATTTAGTTTCAATTTGTTTCATTTGTGTTTCTAATATTTTCAACACTCTGCCGTTTTTAATGTGTTAAAATCAATTATTAGGAATCCATTAGACACATTAGTAAATAAATGTTCCAATATAAAACTGTCTTTGATTTTTTTTAAATATTATAATCTAACATGTAATTTAACCCTGATATTTGTTGTACCAACACCTGATACATATACCAGTACATTGTTCTCGGTAACTTGTACAGTTGTAACCAGCAATTCTGTCCAGCTATTAATACTGTATAAATACACACAAATTAGAGTGATAGTAACACTACAAAATGTTGTACCCCATGCTGTGTGAGAAATAATACAAACCAACGGATAGAAATGTTGCCTATGTTATAGTTCGATATTTTGTATTTAATATACAAGATGAGCATAAACGAGGATTGGCTGAATTGGAATTTTGATATATTTATTTTGGAAGTTTATTGGATGAGGTAAACTGACAGAAAGTTTGACTCAACCATTTAGTCCAAATTTCTGTCTGTTTGTCAAGTTGTAAGGGCTACATAGTGTCTTACGAGGCCTTAAGTCAGTAAGTATAGTGTGTGTGATGTGACGACTAATGGCTGTTACCTGTTATCTGCATTGGGCTAATGCAGACTGTCATTATTGAGCTGCTAGTTTTGTATTTATTTACTTTGCAAACAAAAAGACTGACAGTT